AAGGCTTTTCCTTGGCTAGTTCTCATATTGATGTGGGGTCTGAAGTGACACTGCCACAGCCTTCTCTAAAGGGCTTCCAAGACATTTTATACACCATGTGTGGTCCCCTGCCAATGACTTACCCAGCAGGTAGGGACAGCAACATAGCTTTACTGTGCTATAACGTAGCAGCCCAATTACATGAAATACACAGCTCCTGAGGCCGATTTTCTAGCCCTGGCAGCTTGCTGATTGCACAGGCAAAACCTGTAGATGACGGCTGTATGCTGCACTGCCTCTTTGCAGGACAGTGACACTAAGTAAGTGTCAGGAAAAGTGTGAGCCAGGGCTGCTCCTGCAGGCAGGGGTTGGCTCGTGCTTTGCAGGTCACCCCAGGACTGGGCAGCATCCACAAAGAGAAATGCCTTCTGGCAAGCTCCCCATTTGGCAGGCAGGTCTGCACAGTTATTTTTGGTTCTGAAGGACTTTCTTCAAAGCAGGCAGGGGGAAAAACACCACCTGTGGCTTGGATGCTCCTGGCTTCCTCCTTGCCTTCCCTCAGCCCCCACTCCCAGAGTGAAATCTGGGATAAGGTAAGGATCACCTCTCTCCTTTCAAGGCAGCAATAAAGTGCAAAAGGGTAAGGGGGTAAACTCTGGGATTTCACCCAGGAAAGGCCAGGAAAGAGGACTGAAGCTTTAGTGTGGGGCAAAGGTGTGGAGCTTCAGAAGCCACCCCTCCTGCTGTGCAGCTGGACCAGGATGGGTGCGCAAGCTCCATCTATTTTTGTTCCTCCAGTTGTGGGATTTTAATAATGCATGATTTGGGAAAGTGCTGCATACAGCAATTACTCATTAAGTCCATCCAGCTCATGTGTGAATGAATACTAAAATGTTAAGCTTGCCCTTAGCCCTTAATAAGGAACAAGTTGAATCCCATTTGGATCACTAATTTCAAGCAAGGGTTCCATACCAAAATGCATTTGACACATTCGCCAGCTCTGTAGGTTGTAGAAGTTATTTGCTGCCACTGCATTTTCTGTTCATCTCCTGGCTCTGGGAACAGAGTTGTCAGGTGTGATCTCAGGCAGGGGCCATCTCTGGTTAGCTGATGGCTGGCGGCTGGCCTCTAGATGATGAAGTGGTGAGATGGGCTCGCAAAAGATGCTGGGAACTCTTGTCCCAAAGCCAGCCCCTCAGGAAAAGCAACGGGGAACGCAGCAGGAGAAAGATTCATCTGCTCCTGTCACCTCCACCCATTTCACACTTCAGGGTTGAACACACATACTGGGAGGACCTGTGTGCAAGTTCATAATGGGACTTGAGACTGAATGTAAAGCTTTTCTCTATAGTCCAGGAGGGAAATATCTCACTGAATTGGATGGCTTTTGACCACATTTTGGGTTCATTAACTTGCGAAACCTTACTAAGGTGGAAGCTCTTCTCTGGTGGAGACCAGCTCATTCCATGAAAGCTATTTTGTGAATTTTTGCAGTGCATTTTATGTGCTCTTTTTATCATTTTGGAGCAGGAGATGCTCCATGACAGATGCTCTTCCATCTTCTTGCTCTCCTTCCCTGCTGTTGACAGTGGTTCAGATCCACCGAGGGCAGAAAAGCCACTGGAGAACTTAGACTTTGAAATATAATGCTTAGAAATGGGATAAAAACTTGCACAGAGATTAGCCAATTTCCTGTAATTAATGCCAGTCCATTAGTTTTATTAATGAGCATTTCAACTAAGGAATGTATTTTCTAAGTCTGTAAAGTATCCTCTGTATTTTCTTGAGTTCCCTCATAGTCTTATAATTATAGAAGCCTGATGTGTTTTTATGTCCATAATGTAACTGCTGGCTGTGATCAGGAAGCCATAGATAATATACCATGATCCATGTGCATTACACCATGGTTTGGGTTATTTTTTGTCTTCTGTGGCTTCAGAAATAGGTCACTGCTGAAGACCATCGTCAAATTCTGGTGTTGCAGTGGGGATCTGATGTGACTGGGGGAATCCTCATTGCAGAGGGGTTCAACTAGATGACTTTAAAAGGTTCCTTCCAACCCAAACTATTCTGTCCTGGCCTCCAGGTCAATGACCTTCTTCTCAAATGTGTTCTATGTTGCTGAGGATTAGGCTAATAGCATAGAATCATAGAAAGTTTGGGGTTGGAAGGGACCTTAAAGCTCCACTAGTTCAACCTCCTGCTGTGGGCAGGGACACCTCACACTAGACCAGGTTGACCTAAGCCCCATCAAACAACATGGCCTTGAACACTGCTAGGGATGGGGCATCCACAGCTTCTCTGGGCAACCTGTGCCAGTGCCTCAGCACCCTCACAGTGAAGAACTTCTTACTGATGTCTAATCTAAACCTGTCCTCTTCCAGTTTAAAGACATTCCCATATGTCCTATCCCTACATGCCCTTCTGAGAAGTAACTCTCCAGCTTTATTGTTAGGCCTCCTTAGGCACTGCTCTAAGATCTCCCCTGAGCCTTCTCTTCTCCAGGCTGAACACCCCCAACTCTCTCAGCCTCTCTCTTCACAGGAGAGATGCTCCAGCCTCTGATCATCTTCATGACCCTGCTCTGGACTCGCTCCAACAGCTCCACATCCTTCTGGTGTTGGGAGCCCCAGACCTAAACACAGTACATGCTGGAAACTTTTGCAGGCGTTTGTTTGTGCCACCAGGCTGCTTCTCGGGGCCACTGCAGATAGAAAGCCAGCACTGCTGCATGATTTCACTGATGGTGATGAAGTACGATGCCTCCTCAGAAACAGGGAAAGTGAAGGAAAACATCCACACATGGGGTGTTCACCCTTCTACATCAGTAAGACCAGGGTTTTCCTGGGGTGGTCTCCTTGGAGCCACATGAAGAAAGGGAGAAGGAGAGGGCACACAGCACTGCATAGACCAGCACCCTGTGGCAGAGGGGACCGAGACAGAGAAGGGAAAAGGAATACCTTCTTGCTGGTACTTCCAGTTAATAAATCAGACCCCAGGCAAGGGGATGCATTGCTTGCAAGGCTCCCATACATGTGAGTTTGTGCAAAGGGAGGAATAATGATCAGGATGACAGGATGCCATAAAGGCTCTGCCGGCTATGTTGGATGTCCTCTGCACAGGGTCCCCATCCTAGGGCACTGATGTGGGGCTGCAAACCCAAGTGTCAAATGCTGGAGCATGGCCCTGCTGCAGAGCCAAAACCACAGGGGCATTTTGCAGGCACAGTGGTGCAGGCAGGGGTCAGTGGGGATGTACTTCTATAGAGGTACATCCGCCACAGGTGGAGATGGTGCTCTGAGGGATCAGCACAGGGAGACATAAGGGCAAAGTCTGAAGAAGATACTTTCCCCACTCGAGAGTGTCCCCCCAATAGGTCAGTGCACTTGGTGCACAGCGCTACACCCACCTCTAGTTCCTTGCCACCTTTCAGCTGGAAATGAGCATTACTTAAGTGATTTGAAGATGCTGTAAAATAATTCCCCCAAACTGAAGAGAGAGATGCTGAAGAGCACTTTGTGATGAATAAATGATGAGACAAAAATGGAACAAGAGTGAGTATGCAGGTGCACCCTATCACATGCACAGGCAGAGCTCTGCCCTGCCACCTCCTCACCTTTACCCTTTATTTTTTTACTTATATGAATATGTACCCTATACTTTAATATACCCTATAGTCTAGTTTTATAAGCCTCTCAATCATCACTTCCATCTTCCTAGTACTTGACCAAAATATACTGTGCAACCTGACCCCTGTTTGAGATCACTTAGTTACACTCTTTCTTTGCAAGGCTCAGTCTTGGCACACTATGGCTGGCCGATTGCTAAGTGCCTTTTTATCATAGAATCATAGAATAGTTTGTGTTGGAAGGGACTTTGTGCCTCTGCACAGCAATGAAACGGGTGCACGGCACTCTCAGGACCCCATCCCACAGTCCCCAAATACATGACTGCTCCTGCTGCCTTCATGTAAGTACAAACCACAGGATCAGAGCCTTAAGGGCTAGAAAATATTCTAGTGTTAACGTCTATTCACTCCCATTTGGCAACTCAGCTTGCTCTTTGGTAAGTAACTGCTGAGAAGGAGGCAGTGGGCAGGAGTGCTTGGGGAGGGTGAGCAAGAGGCTGGTGGGAAGGAAGGGGTGGACAGAGCTTGTGGCAGGAAGCCCTAACTCCAGACCTGGAGCAGCCCAAGAGGTATGTGCTGCATGTCAGAGACAAGCAAGAGGTGAGGAGACAGCAGTGGGTTTAATATAACAGGGAAACTTACCATTTCTGCAAACTGCTGCCTGTCATGGTTTGCCTGTTTGCAGCACGAGTGTCATTTGTGGCCAGAGAGAGCTCAAGTGCTTGTAAATCACTGGGAAGGAATAAAATGTCTCTTCCTCCCAAGTGCCCAGCCCTTGAGGAGCAGCCATTCCCTGAACACAGTGAGCCAAAGTCAACAGGAATCTGACACTGTGGGTGCGCTAGCACTCTTTCTGCAAGCAATGTGCACATCTCCCCAGCCCCACCTGATTTTCCTTGCAAGAGTTTGCAAAGTCTTTGGTGTAGGGGTCATCACTGGAACATAACCCCTGTATGGTCTGCATAAGGGATAACCCAGTATCAATAGGAGATACTCATTCTCCAGAAAGTTCATTGCTGGACACTCCTTTCTTGGGTGATTCATTATTAGTGGTCTCTACATGCCTTTTTTTCCGCAGTGCCTGTTAAGTTCAGTTACACACTTCCTCATTTGTAGAGAAAGAGGAGCTGAATGAACATGTCACCAGCTTGTCACTTTGTCATTCCTCTCTCTGCCTCTGCCCTTCCTTTAATAGTCTGAACCAATTTTAGAAGTCTCTGATGCCACTGATGATCCATTGCCTCTGAGAACTAGAGGGCTATTGAACAGTCAATGTGGGTATGCTGCTCACTGCATGGAGTCACTACCAAGGCAAGAGTGGTACTAGCACTGGCAGTGTTGATGAAAAGCTGATGATGTGTTGTACATTCTGCTGCAGATGCTTCAAAAATGCCATTTTTAGTCCTTTTATTTTTAACTAGATTAAACTGACAGCTCCCACACCTTGTAAAGAGATGTTTTAGGCTGTGTTGAATGCAGCTATTGCGTACAGAGGTACTGAATACGCAATGAGAGAAACAGGATGAATTTTTAAAGCCCTGGTGCCCTGCAAAGAGGGAACTTGTGATCTGTCTTGGTGCATTTCACTCATGCAGCACACGGCTGTGCTTAGCCTGGCCCTTAGTCCACGCCGTGGCAGACCTTGTCCTCCCTGCAAGGAAGGAGAAACGAGGGGTTTCAGGCACCCCCTGCAGCTACTCTCTGCGTCCTTGTTTTGGCTAAACATGCCATCACATGAATAAAGAGGCAATTCTGGTCCAGCTCCATCCCACCTCGCTGCTGAGGCTGTGAACACCAGTCCCGTGGGCCCTGCAGATGGAAGGCAGCTCCCGGCCCGGCAGCAGGAGCTGCAGATGGCAGCTGGGCTCTGTGCCTGGTTCACCACAGTTGGAGCCAGAACTAACGAAGAAAAGCTGCCGAAGGCCTTTCCTTGAAGTCATCACTGACCTCCCCTGGTTGGGCAGGAGCTGCAGGAGTGAGGAAGAACAGACACAATACCTTTGCCTCCTCTGTCAGTGAGGGGGAGGAAAACAGACAAAGGGTAGAATCGCAGGGGTGAAATTGGCACTGTGCAAAACCCAGGCTGGAGTCCTCCATGGGTTCCAGCATCTGACAGACCAGATGACAGAGAGGAAAAAACTACACATCAAGTCCCACCAGGCTCAAAATCTATAGCACAAAAAACCATTTCTCCTCAAAAGCCAAACCAAAACTGCAGTGAGAGAGACACTTTGCTTGGCTAGAGGCTGGTCTAGCAACACACTCAGTACCAGCTGCTGTGAAAACCGTGTAAGTAATTTGTTTTCAAGACACATATTGAAGGATGTTGCCTAAGCCTCATAACTGCAGATTCTTATTCAGTTTGGGTAGAAAAATCATTCAACGTAGATGTTCCAATAGTTTTGCTTATTCCATGAGCTGGCAACAGCCTGAAGTAAAATCCTATCTTACTACACAGAGCTCTTTACAGCTTGGCATGCAGGAAGGGCTATTGGCAAAGCTGTAGTCCTCAGTCCAACAAAGCAAAGTCCCCTGGTGACTGCAAGCACCTCTCGGAGAGCCCTCGTCCTGCAAGAGCAACAGAGGCCTGTGTGCAGCCAACCTTGGAAACACTGGAAGAGAAGTATAAAACTTTGATGTATGGAGGCTCTGGGCTACTCTGCACATAGGAGCAAGGTGAGTAAAGCTGCTCTGGGCACTCTCGCTGGCTGTAGTTGATACTGCAGCCAAATATAGCTCAACAAGCATCTCAAGGCAGCATCCCTGCCTTGGCAAGGAGTCGTGCCTTGACAGGGGGGGTTGGACTAGATGGTCCACAGCAGATGCCACTGTGACACAGCAGTAGGTGATGTCACCAATGCAGGTGACAAGTAGCTGTTGTCTAGGCTTGGTGAGCAACAGGGGCCAAATGTCATACTAAGCAAATTCTTCTTTAGAAACCTGTAGTTACCCTCAATGGGATCTTTACATAACCAACTGGAGGATTCTTTTAAAGTACCCATATGCTCTGATTTGCAGGCAGCAGAAAGCTCTGCTTGAGCCACATCCATCATAAGTAAGATCTCTTTTTTTATGGCTGACTCTTGTCATTTTATGACTGTGAATGGTAATTTATGTCTCAAGAGATTTATTGCTTTGCCATCACTCTCTTGCGCGGTGCCACTCAGCACCCGATGCTGGCACCCAGCAGTGTGCTGTGGCGTGTAACAGCACTGGGCAAAACCAGGCTGGTTTTAATTCTGTGCTCATTATCCCTTCCGATTTGTAGGTGGCCTTCATGCTGGTCTTAGAGCAGGGGTCAAGCAACATAAATTCAAATCCCAGTCTTGTTAAATGTTTCCTGTGTTCTCTGCAGGGAACTAAATAAACTTCTAAGCTGCAAACTGGAGACAAACCCTCTCAGAACTTCACTGTCTCTAATGGTTTGTCTGCCTGGTCTGCTTAGACTAGTACCTTTGGACCATGAGCTGCTGCTTAAAGGGTGTTTGTACACCCAGTACTGAACCTGGCTGAGATCTTGCTCTCCACGTATGACTGTATATGACAAATCAGTGAATAAATAGCTCGCTCCTTCTGGCCTTCAGTAAAGTGAGATGCTGCATTAAAAGCCTCTGCAGGGCTCAGGATGCAGCAGCCCTTCTGGCATCTCCTGCCATGAGGCATCACAGGCAAGCAGGAAACAGCAGAACAGATAAGCCAGCTAGTGCATTACTAAATAAAACTGTGCTTTTGCATAGCTGCAGAGAAAACAGATTGATGCTGGTCCTAGAGAACTGTGAGGAGACGGAAAGATCCTGTTGGGAATTTGCCCCTCCTTAGATTCATGTTTCTGCCCTTGTGCATCACCAGTGCTGTTCAGAGCCATCACCTGGGGGGGATTTGCAGCTTGTGCCCATCAGCCATCAGCCCCTCATTGGTAATGCCTGGTGCCAAGGAGGTCAGGGTAGGTTGTACCAGCTAAACCTTCATCCTGCTGTCAAAAGCCATGTCACGCAATCACTGCAGCCTGACCCAAGCACAGAGGAAAGGGCAAGGCCATGCTCCAGTAACTGGGAGGAGATGATAGCGCAGGGTTTTTCATTTTAATCTGTGGTGTGCAAATGCAGATGCTGCAGCAGCTGTCCTGCAGTCTTTAGTCAGAGCATGTTTTCTGGATGTCACAGTAGTGATCTTTCCTGCTTTTCCTTTTTCCTGTCAGGTTGCTGACCCTCGTATTACATTTTCCTTTAGTGCTTGTTCGTTATTTTGTGGCAAAGCACCCTGCAAAACAAGCATTTATTCTTCTAGAGGTAAGCATGACCTGAGTATGGACTGTCCCGTTGTATATATATGTGTTTTGTGAGAATATCCACAACTTTCTGGAAAGCTGATGTGCAGCCACTTCTGCAGCCATCAAGCTGTGCAAAAAAGTCTTAAATTATTCCGTTTGGGGAATTTCAGCTGGAAAGATGGCACAGACTGATGCACTTTGCTCAAGTGTCCTTCTTTCGCATTGCTTTCATGTCATGAAAGTGCTGAAAGCGCTGTTGGAAAAATTCCGGTGATAACCTGCTTTGTCTGAGAGCTTCCCAGCAAACATAGAGGAGTGCAGCAAAAGCCTCTATCTTTATTTCAGTATTTGCATACAGGTCCTCATCAGAAATCTGTTCCAGGTGTGCCCAGAGGCACTAGTGAGCTCCAGAAGGGCTGTGGCCAGCTAGCAAATGGGAACCCATTCCCTGGTGCAAAAAAGACACCAAATACATGTTTTCCTATCTTCCCCAAAATGCAGTAGCTCCCTTAGTGTCTGGTCAAAAAGCAGGAGCAAGGTCTGGATGCTTTCCCCAGTCTTCCTCCTGGGAAACCCATGAATTCAGGGGAAGTGGGGCTAGGGCATTGTGTGTGACATCTCCATGAGCTGTGTGGGTTTGTGGTGATGTGGAGACAGATTTCAGACAAAAGCAGGTGAGATTTTCCCTTGTAGCTGTGTAGGGACACTATGGAGCTCCTTGTAGTGTCCTCCCTCAGTTTGAGGGGTTTGCTGCTTTAGTCTCTGCTCATCATCTGCCTCTGGGCTGCCTCTCCCAACAGGCTGTTCTTTCTCCTTCTGTGCTTCAAGTTCCACTTTATATCATCCTTGAGCCTCACCTGAGCAAGAGAAATGTAACAAACTTATTTGTCTAGGAAATTATTTTAATTAGCAGTCATTTACCTAATAGTTCTCCTGTGAACAATGAGAAAGATTAACATCATGCATTGAAAATACATTCAAGTGACAAATGTGTTTCTTTTAGAAGACAACATTTGACTGCACTTCCACTGCAATGGGTACTGGGAGATTAGACTCTAGTAGATACGGTCCTGATCCAAAGCTATTTTGCTGGAGGGAGGAAATGCCTGTTCATTTGAGTAAAGTACTAACTACTATGACAAATGCTTAGCTAGCTTGAAATCATAATCACCCAAACTGATTTCCCCAGCAAAGTCTGGGTAATGAAGGTATGTGTCCAGCCCCAGGGGCCTTCCTAGACGTTTTGAAAGCCAAACCAGCGTACAGAGGCTTCTCACAAGCTAAAATATGAGCATTTTCATCCTGTTTTCTGTAGCAACGATGAGGAAAACATGCTTGGGGAAATTTCTGAGAGTAACACTTATAGCACAGGGTCAAACACAGGGATTGGCCCTTTTAACGAGCTCTTTACATGTTTTTTTGTTTGCTGTAGGTCAGAGCAGGTGCTTGGGTGGTGTGTATAATGATGCGCATGTGCTGATGTGTACCTTCATATATTCACACACACATACATATATATATACATAAAACTTGTGGAGAAGTTTGTTTTACCTGTGTGAACCATCAGCCACTGACCATATGTCATAGAATCATAGAATAGTTAGGGTTGGAAACCCAGCGCTGCCCAACCACAGGTAGAGAGTCTGAAAAGCTGTGTGAGAAAAGGAATGGGCTCTGCAGAGTTCCAGTGGGGATGGAAGGGAAGGAGAGCTGAAAGTGGTGCACGTCAGTCTCTGCGGCAGCAAAAGGACCACGTGTGCCTGGCACAAAGGAACAGGTTGCAGCCCGTGGTCTCTGTGTGCAAGGAATAAGTGAAGTGAAAACGCTTCCCACAGCCTTCAGCGTGTCCCACCCCCAGCCCAATACCTCTGCTTATAGAAGTTGCCAACTTAGCAATACATCTTACTGCCTAATGGTAGGCAGCAAATATTACCTGCATGTCTTCAAACAACAACAATATCTGCTTGACAGGGATGACTCAATGAGAACAAAATGCTGCAGTCTTGGGAGAGAACATCCCAGTTGTTCAGGCTTAACACTGCTTAGTTCAGAGCAGGACCAAAGTCATCACCATGGACAAAAATAAACCCCAGTTGCTGTTGGGAGCCCTCAGAACAAAAGCAGGCTTGGAGCACAGCCAGTGCCCTTCTCCTCTGCTGCCTCCCCCCCAGGATGCCGTGGGGAGGGCACGGACAAGTGGGATTTTACTCATTTTTGACTCACAGTGGTGTTTCCCCTCCAAAATTTGCAGAGAGGGGCCATGTCTCTTATTAGGCCAGACGATACACTGAATAAACCAGACACCGTGTGCCCCAAAACTTGCCAGCTCTTTTCTCCTGCCTGTGTCTGACAGTCTAATAAAAGATACGAGCTCTCCTGACAGAGCTATCTGATGCCAAGGGATGTTCTTTTTGCCCTAACATTTTCTGGCAAGTGTAGAGAACCTGCATTCAGCGGCCCCATGGGAGCCTTTGCATGTGCTTTGGTGGGTGCAGACCCAGAGCTCTTGAGCTGTTGTGCAAAGCAGCTCGTGACATGGCCAGATGTGTTACTGGGGTGCACTGAGCTGCATGGTCAGCTAAATCATAGAATCACAGACAAGTCCGGGTTGGAAGAGACCTTAAAGCTTATCCAGTTCTAACCCTCCTGTCAAGGGCAGGGGCACCTTCCACCAGACCAGGCTGCTCAAAGCCCCATCCAACCTGGCCTTGAACACTGTCAGGGATGGGGCAGTCACAGCTTCTCCGGGCAACCTGTGCCAGCGTCTCAGCACCCTCATAGCGATTAATTTCTTCCTTATACCTAATCTGAATCTACTCTCTTTAGCTTGAAGCCATTCCCCCTTGTCCTGTCACTATATGCCCTTATAAAAATGTCCCTCTCCAGTTTCCCCTAAGGTCTCCAAATACCAGAAGGTATTTGGAGACAAACTCCAGAGCAAGGAAGCACTGTATGTGCTGGTGATGTGCTGTGCCAAACACACAACCAGGCAGCCATGCCAGCTAAGGGAGCAAAGGCTGGCAGGTCCTGGGCATAAAGACTTGCACTGTTGGGCTGGAAAAGCACTTGGTACACAGCCTGGTTTGTGTGCAGAGGACAAGCTCCCTGGGGTGCTGATGTGTTTTTTCCCCCTCAGGGCTATGCTGCTTTGGGCTGTGCAGGCCATGCCAGCCCCTGGTGAATGTGGGGCCAGCATGAAAAAGCTGGACCCCCAGGAGGCATGCTGCTGCTCGCCGTGGGGAGCAGCGGGGTGCAGGAGACACAAGGGATGGGACCCTCACCTCTGCTTTTAGAGACCCTGGTAGCCTCGGTGCTGCGGCTGCTATGTGAGCACTGAGACAAGAGTCATTTCTCCTCCTGCCACAAGGCAAATGATTACAGCTCAGCAGCAGGGAGCAGCAAGTGCTGATGCACCGAAGGGCAGCCACAGCTGGAAAGGCTGCTTTCCTTGCACCAGAATGAAACAGCTCACCGCAATAAGCCTGCTGCA